CAATGGCATAAAAGTATTTTTCTCTGCGGTACTTCTTGACTTAACGCTACAGTCATGACTTAGGATGTTTTAAAATTATAGGTTCAAAGTTGCAAGTACTTGCATATCTAGTTATTGACGACTTCACGAAAAGACTATGGTTTTGGATGGTTTTGCCACAAGATATTTGTTCGCGGTTTATGGCTTAGAGAGAAGGAAACAAACTGGTAACAAACGCATCACAGCAAGAAAATAACTGAAATTATTAGTGGCTTGTTACCTGATACGGAAAAATCGCAATAGTGGGAGTGTATTTCTTTCTTTACGTAGGCATCTGACGCTGTCAATAGCAAAATGTTTCTGGGAATGAAGATGTGACATAGCTACTTTAATTTTGCCTTGAGCAAGCCAGATTTTGAAAAGAGTGGGATTCAAAGCATAGAATGAAAGGATACATGTATGAAGCTAATAATTTGAACACCGTACTTATGGCTTGAAACTTTCGGCGCGCACACGCCCAGTGAAAAGCTAAAGCCCTGTTGAAAAACTTTCAGTGTAAGAGGTTAAAGCCAGTTAATAGTATGATACTATGGTACTTCCACGGATAGCGAGAGTACATCACTTTGTGTCGAACGTTGGATATGATGACTACGTGAGACAACAACTGCGGTATTTGAGATGGTCATGAATATGTGGAAGAGATGGCTAAGAATGGCTGGGTGACGCTGGAAAAGGTGTTCGTTCAAGGTTCGTCGACTGGACTTGATCAGAAATTGAGGGTTTTATAAATCACGTTACAAATTCCTTGCGTTGAACTCGGTGACACGGGAGGATAGACGGAACATAAAGAATGCATGAACGAGAATAGTAAGGCGATAAGAAATGTCGAGGAAGAAAAAGATTATGTACGAAATGAGAGGGAGGTAAAGAAGAATTATTGGAAGAGAAATAGATAATGGAATTAGCAGTGGCGTGAAAAACAGCGCAACAGCGGGATGAAAAACGCGTTGAAAGAGAAGAATTCATAGAAAGGCAACCTAAATAGGAGGCAGAAGAACGTAAATAAGCAAAGTAGTCAGATGAGTCGAACGTAAATAAGGAAGCAGAAAAGAATGCCGTGAAAAGGAATGAGATAAGTTCTGGTTGATGATAAAAGCAAGAAAAATGAATAAATAAATAAATTAAGGAACACGAACAAATATTAGAAAATAATCAAGAACAGCGAGAATAAGAACAGATGAAGAAAAGCACAAAGACAAGCAGAAGGAAGAATGCACTGAAAGACAAACGAAGGAAGGCAAATTTGTAGAATAAAAACAAAAGCCATTTTGCATAATGGCTAAAAAAATAATGTCAGCAGGTAAACAATTAGCTGTTGGAGAATAGGAAGTTACAGAAGAATTAGAAATGAAAAATACGTTAATGAACACAGAACAACACAGAGAGTACCTGAAGAAAGTTTATTAGAAAAAAGAAGTAGTGTTTGATGTAAAACAGGAACTAAGGAACACAAAAAAAGAAACGTTATAAAGTTTAACAAAACGAACAAGTAAAAACAGCATTAGAAGAATAAGAACGATTAGAAAACTGAGAACAAAAGCAACAAAATGAATAAATGTTGAAACTAAAGAATGAACAAAAATATAAAATTTTCACATTACGTTTCTTATTAATTAGAGTTTTCCTTTTCTGTTTTTTGTTCTTAATACGTAACATCTTTTTCTTCATGATTGGCTTGCTTCCATTTAGGCATATATGTATGCAAAGAATCGCCGTGGTCCAAACTTCCTCGATGAACATGCTGTCAAAAAAGTTCCTGTGTTATTTTCCGATATCGACACATCTGTCTTACAAGCAAACCCTGAAAATGATGTGGTACCGCGATTGATTTCGCCCCGCTGCCTATAGTTTTACGAATATTTCCTTGTGTAGGAAACGACTCTTTCGGTGCTACCTCCAAAACAACAGAAAGACATCGAAAAGTCTTCAGAAGAATACCTGGCAGATATACTGAAATACGAGAATAGCCTTGCTGTGGTAAAATTTTAAACGACACGTCTGTATTCTTTTCGTAATGGTAATTAAAGGACAAAACTTGAAGCCATGGAACTTAATTAAGCTTCTCAGTAGTGAGCTGTTTATCAGATAAACCGCGAGTTTCTCTTTCCTGTTCTTTTCTTGATTTCATTGTAATGAGCACAGATTCAGTAGTTCATTTAACGATTTTTAAAAACGATATTAACGCCAAAAACTTACATTTGCAAAAATAGAATGTCTGTAATTACTGTCGCTCTGCATTAGTATGCATTTGAGGAATGGGCTTTCTGATTACCGTCTCGTTTTGTAGAATGCCAAAACGATAGCAGAGCTGAAGCAAATAGTTGAATCAGAAGAAGATGACCTTCGCGATCAAGAGCGATTACTTGCACTTTTAAATGCTCCTGAGGATTTGGAACAATTGAAGGTTAATAACTTAATCTCATTGGCTAGCGTAGTGAAAGCCTGATGTGATGCCGTTAAAGCCTACGCTTTTTTCAGGAGAACGTTTTTTCCCTTACGGCTACAGTCGAAGCGTTGCGGTTAGAAAAGTCTAAGCTCCAAGAAACGTCAAAGCAGAGTCACACAGTACAGACCGAAGATTTGGAAGAAGCCCAGCGATTGGCGGAGAGTCAACGAGAGAATGCGGCATTGACAGAAATGCTTCATAGCCAAATGCGGCTGTTGCATGAATTGGTACTGCGAAAGTTACTTAGTTTATCTTTGTTACTTAATTACTTACCTATCTACTATGCCGTTAATCTAAGAAGCACCCAGTTTTTAGAAAAAAGGACTGAACATCAACCACGTGTGTCAGAACAGGTCGACTTATACATTGAGAATCTTGGAAATCACCGAAAATATTAAAAAGCAGAAACTTGAAATTGCAAAGGTAAGTTGGGTTGATTTTTTTCTGGTGAGTATAAATTTGAGACGGATTTAAAACTGAAAGTTTAAGTTTGTTTAATGATATAAGGAGTCAAGTCGGTCGTTGTTTCCCCGGTATCGTGTATCCTGATGCCACCCTTATAATAGTCGACAATTTGATTATTACACCATGCATCCGTTACACGATATTATGCCGTGTAGTGGAGCCTGTCAAATACATGGCAGAAAAACAAGATGAAGCATTTGTTTGTGCAAAGGTTGTCATACTGAAGCAACAGCGCATGAATAAATTTTGCAAGACGTAATACAGTGTTGTATAGAATAATAGATCAAATCAGACGTTTTGATACATTTCCCGCAGGCCTCGTACACTTTGAAAGTTGTGCAATTTTTCGTTTGTTGACTTGGTTTGACACAACGGGCTCGTTTTTGGTCAAAAAACAGGCTGTCGGTCCGTGCTGGTGCGATGAAGATCATCCAGTCCGCACAAGTCGTCTTAAATTTCACAACTTTTGCCATGAGGAAGGAGCTGTCTCTTTGTGAAACCAAAAGGAAGACGGTTTAAGGGATGATTACGCTCAGAAAACTTGATCGTGTAGAAGACTTTAAGTTAATGGTTAGCTGCTGATCTCCATTTCCATGCCATCTGCCATGTTTAAAAGGCAGAGTCGGCAACAGCTATTTGATTAATATGGCGTTCCTGTGCACTGGGTGGTACTCATTTATCGACCTCGGGATGAAGAATGGCGTGATCTTACCAGGCTTAAACCTGGGACTTCTCGTTTCTGAGTCTGACTCCCACCGACTGAGCAATCTAGGTCTGAAGCAACTTGTGGTAAGTTGCTGACGGAAATCTTTAAGACAGAGATAAATCCTTGACATCTCCGATGTTCTAAGTTGACCTCTTAGACGTTGTATTATTGCACCACCTATAGTGAGGCACCAGTCTCCATTAATACGCCATTGGCTATAAGTAAAGGAATTGCATCTAAAGGCTGTGTCTACAACTAGTTGACAACACTGCGGTGCAGTCGCATCAGTCCTTGCAAAGTGTTCCCAACTTGTCTACCTATGAAGAAGGAAGCATGATGGATTTGGCCAAGATTAGAACTCATGATCTTTCAGTTCTGAACCCGGCAGTCTACAGTCTGTGCTACCATAGTTTATCTCCTCAGCTACCGCATGAATGCTTGCTTTCTTTGTATTTAAGTTGGGTGATAATGGTCGTTAAAACTCCTTTATTATCGCCATATATCGTACATCCGTACGCATTTTCATGAACTAAAATATGTAACAATTTTATACAAAGTAAAGATACTTGTCTTTTGGACTTAAATCATTCAACTATTCATCCTGTTGTGTCAGTGATGCGCGAATATGCCCTGTTAGAGTATGGGAAGTTTCTTCACTGATGTAGTAATGTAGTGTTCAGTGATCAAAGACAGCTTGTATATCCTTCGTTCATGGTTATCCGTTCAATGCGACAAGGATACGATTATTGATGTCAGATGTATATTTAACTAACTTAATTATTCGACCTCAACAACCAACTTCCGGTTGAGGAGTACAATTTTCTTTCTTTGAATTCGGCTGAGGCGCTTCGTTTCAGACACCCTATTTGGCAGTTCAGTTGTGGGTTCGAGCTGATGAAAAGGATCTGAATTGAAAGATAACTCTGGTCTTTCTCCGTACTGCTGTATGACTATCTTGTTCATAGTTT